TTGATATTGTGAGTAAAATAATAGGGAAATGTGGCTCTTTGACTAGGTGAGGTCAGTTTTTATTTACATATGGTGAAATAATGATTTGGTTTAAATTGCAGCATTAAGTTAAAACTCACTCAAGATTAATGAACTTAAAAAACAATGTTTAGACAACTTGTCTCTTTTTGTTAAATCAACTTTATGAACTTTAATTTCTGAGTCAAAACCAAACCCGTTTTCTTGTTGATTTAAATTAAATTTTCAAGGCAGCAGGTGGATTTTCAGCTTCAAGTTAAACCACCTTAAAATGTTTTACAGTGCAGATTAATTAATTCAGCAGCTTCAGGTTCACACTCCTCATTCCTGATTAATCAAAAGGACGTAAAGGGAAGTGGTTTTCTTTTTGTTGATATGAAACATTTAATGTTTAGCCAATTATTTTGACATTTACAGATGAATATCCAAACCAGCAGACATCAAAGTCCAGATCTGGTTCTGACCAGATCTGGACTTTGAGAATGTTGTGATATTTATCAATCGGTAAAATGTCAGCCGCCGGTGAGTTTTCACGGACGGCGGCTCGCTGCGTCTCCGTGGTGTTTTCCTGTTTGCTCTGATCACATTTAATTGGACACGTTTAATTAATAAATTTCGTAATTGATGCATAAATCATGTGGATGAAAACACCAAATAGATTCTCTGTACCTTTCTGAATGTCAGCTGAATTGGTCATCTGACGTCACTAAAGAAGTTGTAATGAGGTTTAGTTGTTACTTTTACTCACCTTGTGTTAATTTATGATGAAGTTAGACCTGCAGAGCGCTGAGGCTCGGCGGCAGATGATCCCGGCACAGACGGGTTAACGAGAGCCGTCATGCTGAGAAGATGAATCCAGAGTGATGAGCAAACCTGAAGCTCACCGTCTGTCACGTTAGCTCCATGCAATGCAACGGTGAGTAATTCTCCTGCAAGAGTCTGACTCACTCTTAATGGTGTTATTCAAAGGAATGCTCAAATGGTTTATTGTTTTAAACACGCAGTGATTTCTAAGTGTTTCCAAATAAAAAATGTGGAATGAGTTCTGCTTTTTTACTGATGCAAAAATGCACTTCAGATATTTTTCTTAGAGGACATAATCATTTGAATTTTTATGAATTTTTAGTATCTTTAAAACTTGGGGCACCGAAATAAATATAAAAAATATTTGGTACCGTATTAGGGCGCTTAATGTTTATGTTTTGTGCTTTTAAACGGGGAACTAAAGTTAAATTTGTAGCTAAACTCTTATTTGGGAGCATTAATGTTTAACATGCAGCTACAATGACATAAATGAGGGAAATTAAAGTATTTTTGCTGATAGGGAAATTATTTTAAGCTGTTTTTTCTGTAGTTTAGGCGACTGTACCGAACTATATTCAAAATAAGCCATTTTAATTGTAAAAAAAAAGAAAAAAAAGGTCTTACCAACTTAAATATACGTGTGTTTGTTTTTTTTACATAAACGAGCTGTAAACGTTGATATAAAAGTAATACATTTTAGCTCTTAGCGTTCTTGGTCGCCCCCTGTTGGTTCGGAGACCCTAAGCAGGTTCTTAGTTAATGTTTACTGTGATTTTAATATTTATTTATTTTCTTAAATACATTTATTAACATTTCAAATCACCTCAACCATGAATTGTAATTTATGTTTCTAAGGACTCAGACTGAACTTGCAGCTACACATCCTAAATTACTGTTACTGGAGGGTTTTAAGCATCCATGCATTTTCTTTACACCAACCGGAGTACCCACGCATGCACTCCATGCAGAAAGACCGGGACCGGGAATCGAACCCAGAACCTTCTTGCTGCAAGGCAACAGGCAACGTTTTCTCTGAACACGTTCAGAGAAAAATAAAAACTTTTTTTTTCAGTGGTGAATGTTTAAAAGATGTCCTGTGGAGAGCAGACAAATAGACATTGAACTATCAAGACATTAGCCGTATAATGTTTGCTGCACACCTGGTCAAATCTAAACGCTCCATCGTTGTTATGCAGAGGGAGATCAAAAGGTCGTGCTGCTGCTTTGTTGAATTTGTGATGCTAATGAGTCTACAAAGGACCAATTACCTGGCTGTCGTTGCATCTGCCTCTTCTTTTCCTCCCTTAATTCTCTAATTTGGCTGTGACCTTTCAGCAGGAACAGCAGAACCATGCAGGGAGCGGCTGAATGAATCCATCAGCGGCGCTGAGAAGTTCTAGTAATGTTCAGACAGCGACCCTTCAGATCCTGGAAATAAAACTTTAAGATAGTTTTAGGTGGAAGTTCGTTGCTTTGAGCTGTGACCAGATGAAAGCCTTTAAGCAGCCGACCAAATTCATTATCACACGACGACTTCCTGGCATTCAGGCCACCTGACAAGATCTTTAATTGATATTCAGTCAGTGTTATAAATAAATAGAATCGTTTGATCAAATAATAAATAAATGTGGAGACAGAGGCGGCTCTAACCTGTTTGGCGCCCTGGGCGAACCAATTTTTTGGCCCCCTCCCCCCATCTGCAAATAAACTAATTCATAACATCCATATCTGTAGTATGTTGAACCACATTCTCTCCACCAGAGTTTTAATATCTATAATATATAACATATTGAATATATAAGAAATTAGACGACTATGCTGAAAGTGTAAATTCAGACTTTACTCAATATTAACAATTTACTAAATTGTAATGTTTAATAAGAAATTAAATGAAAATCTCATGTGAATAAGTTTGTTCACATGATGCATTATTAAAATCATGGCAGAGATGGATGTAAACAGTTACATGAGATTATATTCATATTGGTGTCTCCTACTTGAGAGTGTATGCGGCGCTTTAAGAAAATTATAATCTCCAATTTTACAGAAGAGCTATGGATTCATCACATTTGAATTAAACAATTTTATAAGGACTTTGTGATGTTTGAGCGCTCTTCATATTGTCCTAAAAAAATCATTATTCTACCACTTCCTGTTGTCTTCTTTGTCATTTTCGACAGTAGTAACATCCGGCTGTTGATCATTCGTCAGAGGTGCAGTTTTGCTAAATGCATCTTTTTCAATATGAAGGGAAAACCACCTCATCCCAGAACAAACCTTTTTTTTCCCCATCACAAAACGTCTTCTTTTTTTAGCATTTAGTGAGTTTATTTTCAATTTGCGCAATTTTATGGTTAGTGGAAACGCAGCTAATGTCTCTTTGACAAGACAATTTCAGATGTTTCTCATGTCAAATAAAAGAGACGAATCCGTCCTGCACAGCTTTCCAAACCGTCTGTCTGAGGCTGAAACCCAAAGTTCATACTGCAGGCAGCTGTGGACAATTCGTAGGTTTAACAGCTTATCAGCAGTGGCAGCTCCGATTCTCAGACTGTCTCCACTTGTCAACCTTGGCTAATCCTGTTTGTTGAAGGCTGCTTGTCAAGTCGCGTAAAGTCACAGCTTGTTTCTCAAGGACATTTATAAACAACCCTAATGGACCACGGCACTGAAGCCCAATCCGTCTTCAGCGCCGATGTAAATATTCAGCATTATAAACACGCTCTGCCAGCTGTTTTATTAAATGATAAAGGGATGATGCCTCCAGCAGACAGTTTTTATCTGCCTCTCAGCTGGAACTGTGACCAGGCTGGACTCCAGCCAAGCTGCACACACAGTTTACTAACAGCACAGGTGACTGATTATTGATGATGAAGTGGAAATAAAATCCTGTCTTCTCACCCGCTCAAACAGTAACTAACTCATATTTGCTAAAAAAAAAAAAAAAAAAAAAAATTGAGGCTTGGGACGCCCCAAATTTAAATTCCGGCACATGTTTTAATTTTTGCAAAAAA